TGCCCCAATAACAGAGAAACTGGGGATCCCACACCAGCCAAAGTAACCACTTTGAGTTGCTGTTGTTTCCTGCCAGGCGAGTGGGTGTGCCTATGCAAACAAGATCAGCCCCTGGAGTTCTTTTCCACACTCGCCATAATTCACCACCAGATGTCAGGGTAGAGCTCATCCTGACTCTGCTTACATAAACTTTTGAAAGAACCAGAGTTATGAACCCCTCCCCCTCCCTTCCGTAACTCTGCAGTTCTGCTGTATGTGTGTAACCCACACACCTCCTGGGTGTGGTGCTCTGTCCTATCTAGTGGCACTGACACCACTTAGCACAGTGATTCTCAAGCTTTTGTACTAGTGACCCCTTTCACACCGCAAGCCTCTGAGTGCGACCCCCTTATACATTAAAAACACATTTTTATATATTTAACATTATTATAAATGCTGGATGCAAAGTGCATGCATGTAATAACCTCATGACCCCCTGAGGGGTCCTGATCCCCAATTTGGGAACTGCTGACTTACAGAGAGAGAGAGAGAGAAAATGAGTTTGCTCTACAGCCTTAGCTAAGAGCCAGCTGGCTGTTAGCTCATGCATAGAGGCTCATACACTAGGCTCCAGGTTCAATCCTGCCCAATAACAACCAGGGTCTGTTGGTGTTACACACATAGGTGTGCACAGCACTTTTCATTAGGGTGTGCAGCCATGGAATTTTATTTATTTATTTATTTATTTTAAGGCAAACTTCATAAAGGTTGGGGTGCAGGGTGTGGGAGGGGGTGCTATGTGCAGGAAGGGGCTCAGGGCAAGGGATTGGGGCAGAGGAGGGGTGCAGGGTGTATGAGGGGGCTCAGGGAAGGGGGTTGGGGTTCAGGAGGGATGCGGAATGCAGGAGGGGCTCAGGGCAGGGGGTTAGGGTTCAGGAGGGATGCGGAATGCAGGAGGGGGCTCAGGGTAGGGAGTTGGGGTGTGAGGTGCAGGCAGGGGTCTTAGGGCAGGGGGTTGGGGGTACAGGAGGGGTGTGGGGTGTGATAAGGGGCTCAGGGCAGGGAGTTGGAGTGCATGGGGGTGCAGGGTGCATCAGGGAGCTCAGGGCAGGGAGTTGGGGTGCAGGAGGAGTGCAGGGTGCAGGAAGGGGGCTCAAGGCAGGAGGTTGGGGTGCAGGAGGAGTATGGGGTGCAGGCAGGGGGCTCAGGGCAGGGGGTTGGGTGGCGGGGTGCAGGAGGGGTTCGGGCTCTGGCCCGGCGCCGCTACCTAAAGCAGCTCGGGGTGGCAGCGGCGTGCTTCCTGGTAGCCTGCCCTGGCCCCACGCCGCGCCGCTCACCACATCCCTGCGTGGCCCCTGGGGGCGGGGGTACAGGGCTCCGTGCGCTGCCCTTGCCATGGCCTCCAGGTACCTCCCCTGAAGTTCCCATTGGCCGCGGTTCCCCGTTCCCGGCCAATGGGCGCGGCGGGATGCAGTGCCTGGAGCAACGCAAGGAGCCCTCTGCTCCCACCCCTCCAGGGACGTGGTGCCATGCCGGCCGCTTCTGAGAGCGGCGCGGGGCCTGCGGCACCACGGGGGGGCAAATCCCGCGGGCCGGATCCAAAGCCCCGAGGGGCCGGATCCAGCCCGTGGGCATTAGGGTGTGCCTGGGTACACCCAGCACACCCCGTGTGCACACTTATGGTTACACATGTTCTCAGGAGAGCTGCGCATCCAGATTCAGCGTTGTCTCCCTCACCTTCCTGACATTACAGTGGGGATCGTATGCGCCAACTTCTGCTCCCGCCGATGGGTTCGCGACCACCCTCTGGTCCTGCCCCCACTCCATCCCCTCCCTGCCCCTATTCCAACTCCTTCCCCAAATCCCCACCTCCTTCCCTGAGCGCGCCACGTTCGCTCCTCCCCCTCCCTCCCAGCATGCTGCCAAACAGCAGAGGAGTGGGGATGTGGTGCATGGGGAGGGGGAGCTTGGCTGCCAGTGGGTGCAGAGCACCCACTAAATTTTCCCTGTGGGTGCTCCGGGCATGGAGTCGGCGCCTATGGTGGGGATGTTCCCGGGCCCAGGGTGCGCTACCCATAGCGGTCTGAGGACCCAGACGCATGGGCTGCAACAAAAACATTTTCAGATTGCTTAAAACACTGCGACGGTGTGTCTCAGCCAGGGCGCTGGAACCGGGGGGGCCAGAAGGGCCACGCTCCCCCCTCCCCATGCTTGTTACCAAAAGAAACACACCTTAGGGGCGGGCAACTGGACTGCCCAGGGTGCCATGGTTGGGAGGCGCCCTGCACAGCGCAGCCCTGAGCAGCGGGTGCTGTGACGTGCTGGCCTGGGAGAGGGGAAATTAAAAAAAAACCTGCTTGCATTCTATTTTTGCAAACCTGGCAGGTGCCCTGCACCCCTGTGCTGGGGCTTTTCCCCCTGCCACCCTCTGGCAGTGCCTCCTCCCTGGGCTGAACCCCTAGGTCCGGTTCCCCCCTCCCCACCCTGCCTCCAGCTGCTTCACGCCCCCATCCAGTTTCCACCCCAGACCCAGCCCATCCCCCCGCCCACTCCAAGTAAGGGCAGAGCGAGGGCAACGGCTTCAGCAGGTGTTACTGAGCATGCTCGTTCCGGGTGCGCATGTTCAGTACAAGTCAAGCAGCCCAGTCTGTGGAGGGGGATCTATTGGGGGTGGGGACTACAACTCCCAGCGTGCCCCGGGGCGGGTGGAAGAGGGAAGATGGCCGAATACCTGGCCTCCATCTTCGGCACCGAGAAAGACAAGTGAGTGGGGGGAGGGGGGCAAAGGTCAGATGACCAGGACTCCTGGGTTCTCTCCTTGGCTCGGGGAGGGGGTTAAGGGGGGAGGCGGGTCTGGGAGTCAGGACTCCTGGGTTCTCTCCCTGGCTCGGGGGTTGGGAGTCAGGACTCCTGGGTTCTCTCCCTGCGTTGGGAGTCAGGACCCATGGGTCCCAGGCACTCTGGGGGTTGCTGGCATCGCCAGCCCCTTGCTCACTAAACGTCTCTGGCCCTTTTCCAGGGTTAACTGCTCTTTTTACTTTAAGATCGGGGCTTGTCGGCACGGAGACAGGTGTTCCCGCCTCCACAACAGACCCACCTTCAGCCAGGTGAGCCTGGCAATGGGGCTCCGGGACGCAGCGTCTGGGGATCAGGATTCAGCCACCTCTGGGGCGAGGCAGGCCTGGAACAGCCACACATAACGCTACATGGGGACCGCTCACCTGGCACTGGGACGCAGCCACCTTTGGGCGAGGGGCAGCTGGGGAACACGGACACCTCATTGTGTCTGCATCTCTGTTTGTAGACCATCGTGCTGCTGAATCTGTATCGGAACCCCCAGAACACGGCCCAGTCGGCAGACGGCTCGCACTGTGAGTACCCGCTACCCCCTCCTGGCCCAGCTGCATGGGACACTGTCTGGGGAAGTGCACAGCCTCCCAGCCCTTAACGCCCGGGTCTCCGTCCATGCTCCTGGGCACTGCCTTGCTTGTGAGGAAGCTCGTGGCCTCTGGAGACGCCCCTCACTCCTGGTGACAGGAGGCACAGGGGGTACCGCATGCAGCTTGCCCAATGTCCGACAGCAGTGAGTCCGTGTCTCTCTCCTCCAGGTCATGTCAGCGATGTGGAAGTGCAGGAGCATTATGACAATTTCTTTGAGGTAAGTCACTGAAAGCAAGCTAGGATAGAACCCAGGAGTCCTGGCTCCCAGGTCCCCCCACTCCACAACCACAAAACTCCCCTCCCCTCAGAGCTGGGAATAGAAGCCAGAAATAGTGACTGCATCTCACATCAGGCAAGCCATCCTTACGTGGTATCACTGTGCGGCTGTTCCCCAGCTGCCCTGCCCCAGAGGTGGCTGCATCCCAGGGCCAGGCAAGCCATCCCTGTGCAGCGTTATGTGTGGCGGTTCCCCAGCTGCCCATGGCCAGGCGAGCCGTCTCTGTGTGTATTCACCCCATGAAGCTCATTCTGTCCCTGCGCCAGGAGGTCTTCATGGAACTGGAGGAGAAGTATGGGGAGATCGAGGAGATGAACGTTTGTGACAACCTTGGAGACCACCTGGTCGGCAACGTCTATGTCAAGGTAACCCCCAGCTCCACTCTCTGCCTTCCAAGCCAGCAAGTACCCGCCCTGGGGCCGGATTGGGGCCAGCGCCCCCTAGAGGGGAAAGGCCCTGTGCCCCATTCCTCCCACCCTCCTGAGCCAGCCAGTACCCACCATGGGGCCAGATTGGGGCCAGCGCCCCCTAGAGGCAGGCCCTTTTGACTCTCGTACCTCCCCAGTTCCTGCGGGAGGAGGACGCCGAGCGGGCCGTGGGGGAGCTGAACAATCGCTGGTTCAATGGCCAGGCCGTGCGGGCCGAGCTGTCCCCAGTCACCGACTTCCGCGAGTCCTGCTGCCGTCAGTACGAGATGGGGTAAGTGACTAGGCACAGGGGTGGCACCTCTGGGACTCTGCCCTTGTTAACCCCTTGGGGATCCTCCTTTCTGGCCTCATAATCCCTCGGGATCACCTCTCCCCAGGAAGGTACCTGCCGGTCACCCCAGCCCTCTAACTCCTCAGGGACCCCCCTCTCCCCAGGCCAGTACCCACCAGGCTCCCCGGTCCTCTTAACCCCGCGGGGACCTCCCTTCCCCAGCTAGTACCCATTGGGCGCCTGGGCCCCATTAACCCTTGGCAGTGTTCCCTCTCATTTTTCCCACCATGTGCGGAATGAATTTTGTAACACATCACCTCCGTGTTGGTGCACCTGTTCGGAGTGCGGGAGGGGGGCTCGGGGCTGGGGCCGAGGGATTCAGAGTGCGGGAGGGGGCTCTGGCCGGGGCCGAGGGATTCGGAGTGTGGGAGGGGGTGAGGGCTCCGGCTGGGGCTGAGGGATTCGGAGTGCGGGAGGGCGTGAGGGCTCGGGGCTGGTGCCGAGGGATTCGGAGTGCGGGAGGGAGTGAGGGCTCGGGGCTGGGGCCGAGGGATTCGGAGTGCGGGAGGGGGCTCGGGGCTGGGCCGAGAGATTCGGAGTGCGGGAGGGGCTCAGGGCTGGGGCCGAGGGTTGGGATGCGGGGGGGTGAGGGCTCCGGCTGGGGGTATGGGCTCTGGGGTGGAGCTGGAGATGAGGGATTTGGGGTGCACTGGGGCTCCCTGGGGCTACAGTGGGGAGAGAAGACTCCCCCCTCACCCCATATCTCTCTCCCAGCAGCAGCACCTGGGCTGGGGGGGAGAGGCGCCTCTCCCCCAGCCACAGCAGGTCCAGGCCAGGCGGGGCCGGGGCGCCTGTCCCCCAGCCTCAGCAGGTTAGGGGCTGGGCTGGGCCAGGGGTGGGTCACCTGTCCCCCGGCCGCGGCAGGTTCAGCACTGGGCTGGGGAAGTGGCGCCTGTCTCCCAGCTGTGGCAGGTTCGGGACTGGGTCGGGGCTGGGGAAGGCGGCTGTCCCCCGGATGTGGCAGGTTCTGGGCTGGGTCAGGGCTGGGGAAGGCACTTGTCCCCTGAATGTGGCAGGTTTGGGGCTGGGCTGGGGCGGGCAGGTTCAGGACTGTCCCCGGGCTGCGGCAGGTTCGGGGCTGGGCTGGGGGAGTGGCGCCTGTTACTAGCGGCAGGTTTGGGGCCGGGGTGGGCAGGTTCAGGACTGGGCTTTGGGGAAAGGTGCCGTGGCAGGTCTCGGCTTTGGGAAGAGGTGCCATGGCAGGACTGGGCCGGGGGAGAGGTGCCATGGCAGGACTGGGCCGGGGGAGGGATGCCGTGGCAGGTCTGGGCTTTCGGGAGAGGTGCTGTGGCAGGTCTGGGCTTTGGGGAGGGGTGCCGTGGCAGGGCGGGGAGGGGAGGGATGTCGTGGCAAGTCTGGGCTTTGGGGAGGGGTGCCGTGGCAGGGTGGGGAGGGGAGGGAT